TAACAGTTCCTAACAGTTCCTAACAGTTCATAACTTCAGAAGTCAATATCTCGTGAACGGAACGTTTACGAGCATATTTCCAGAGGAAAATTTTTCTTGCTTTGAGGTCCTAAATATATCTTTCAAGTTTGGCCGTTTAACCCGGGAACACCCTGTATATTGGCCACCGATTGGCTCGCATTGCTGCAAAATACATCGCTATAATTTATTTATATACAAATATGCGATCCGTGTACGAGATTGCCCATTTCCCCGAGGGAGCGAGTGTCTAAAGTGCAAGGAGGACACCATTATAATAAATAATGCTTTCACGAGACCACGACGCTCGCGTTGTCGCCAATGATCGTCACTTAAATCGTAGACCTCATATGCAGCAGGATAAAATAATTGAAGGCTTCTTTATACATCAGCTTACTTATCGTGATCAATAGTCCTCTACAGCGGAGAAGCAAGCACTAATCCATTTTGATTAATGTACGTAGAGATATAATGAATTGAATTTGAATATTACCAGCGGGGATAATATTTTTGCCAAATGTCCCATCTTCGATGGGTAACAGTCGGACGAAAAAGTGCGTGTGCGTGCGTGTGTGTGTGTGTGTGTGTGTGTGTGTGTGTGTGTGTGTGTGTGGGTGTGTGTGTGTGTGTAGCAGCCTTAAATTATTTTCTTCTACCATATGACATTGTCACAGCTGAGAGGCTGTGTCAGAGCCTGTATTATGGGGGGAGGGGGGAGAGGCCGATCAGCCCGATCCTCGTCGGTGAACAGCGAGCCGGTGTTACGCTGGCATTTACACCGGTATTTTACACCGCATCCCACAATCTTCCTATCTTAAAGCCTTAAAAGCCTACGATCGCACGAACGCTTCTCGCCATCTCAGTCTTTAATACGCGCGCGACGCGACGTAATAAATATATATGGTTCCGTTCGTTTCGCGTAATACTGGAGACGTGGAGATCGCGCGGGTTCGCGCGGGACTCCACGACGACTTCGATCCCGTCCGGCAAGACTCCTGGCAGAGTTTCCCGCGGAAACCAGACCGGGTCGTCCACGAGAGAGACTATCGGAGTCTTTTGAGCTAAAAAGAAGAGTAGTCTCGTCTCTCGAAAAAAAAATTCCTCACCGTTTTATCCAGGGTTGTCGCGTAAACAGAGAAAGTTCCAGCTTTGATCGTTTGAACCCTGCACGAAGGTTGCCTCGAAGATAATCAAGACTCAGAGGTACCTCGCGAGTTGCCTCTTCAGTGACACGTGTGTATCGTCTTTTTTGTCCTGCACAGCTGACACTTGACCTCGCAGCACCAGTGGAAGGTGCAGGAGCACCTCTCGATTACCGTCACCTCCTGAGTCCTGTGGCCCCTGCCGCAGCACATGAGGTCGCAACCGTCGACGCCGATGCTCGTGTCGTTGCACTGCCGCCCTTGAGTGCCCAGGATGCCGAGTTTGGGATTCTTCTCGCAGAACGGCGGCGACGGCTCCACATAGACGAGATCCTTCTGCCCGGGCGGCTTGTGCTCCGGATTGTACGGCTTCAACTGGAAGTTGTAGCGTTGCCGGCGTCCGAGACCGTCGCGATGCTGGTGCACCGAGTTGCTCGCCGAGTTGCTCGTGATGGCATTGTTGTTAACGCGCGCGCGGTCCGAATTACTGACCATTACCCGAGAAGCCCCGTCGAAGCGATCCTTCAGATTGTCGCCGACCACGCGGAAATTCGGCAGTCGCATCCAGCAGGTCTTCACCGTGCACGAGCCCGACATGCCGTGGCACTTGCACTCCTGATGCATCTCCGAAGTTACGTGCTGTAATGAGAGGGGCAAAGTCCTCTGTAATTTTTCTCGCAGTTAAAACGCATCATATTTTTAGCATTCTCGCCTCGCGATGGACGATTTATTCATAGTTTTCATCGCAAACTGGTTAGCAGATAAAACAACAGGATGCTAGTCTTGAATGAATCCCGAACTTAGGGTTGAATATAGATATTTCATTATTCTATTTAGGGCGCAATGAGTGAAACTATTCTGGAGAATAATTTTAATGCTTTTGTTCATTCCTTTCATCTATTAAAAGATAATAACTCAAAAAGTTAAAGGAGCTTACTGCTCTGCCGGCTTCGTTATTGTGTAGGTTCATCTTCTCGCGGAGATTCCGACCACGTTCGCCAGTGTCGACGAAGTCGCGAGAGAACTTGAAACCGTATCCAATGTTATCCGAGCAACCACCCCATTCCCAATCTCGAACGGCGGATGATGCGCGTGATTGGTGAGTGTAATCGCAGGAGCACGATTGAATGCTGCCCTCGCTACATGCCCTCGCGATACTGTGAGTCACTGCCGCACTCGTGATGGCGTAGACGAAAGCGGTCTCTCGACATCCTGCAAGAAAATCATGGAAAATTTACGTTGTGCCGTGCCATAGAACTCTCTGTTGAGCGCACGTCAAGGGCGAAAACTCAAGTCCAAATGACGTTTCTGCTAAAATCAACTGTTACATGTACATATTATGCGGGGTTGGCAAGTAACTCGTTATTTGTAACGAAGTTATCAGTTACTTTTTTTGGCAACTCCAACTTAACTTCGTTACTTTCTCTCTATCCGTAACTTAACTCAGTTATATTTTTTCGATAACTAGTAACTAATTCTATAGTTATATTAAGAGTTACTTTATATTTTAAACCTCCGCAGATCGCATTAGGCCTTGCATTTGCGCATAAACGCCTTTATCGACACTTTACAAGTCAAATGCAGATTTGATATTTATATTTTCATTGCAAGAAAGTAACTGCAAAGTAGCGATTCGTTATCTTTTTTTTAGTAACTGCAACCGTAACGCGTTACTTTTCCGAATTGGTAACTTGTAACTGTTACTAGTAACATTTTTAACAAAAAAAACTGTAACTGTAACTAGATACTTTTATAAAGTAACTTTCCCAACTCTGATATTATGCTTTCGTCGTAATTATATCATTAAGTCCTTCGGTCTGTATTTTATTTAGCCAGCTGCGTAATACTTTCGGCTAGTTCCGGTAAAAGTTTATTCTCAGCAAGTTTCTTCGTTAGAAGCGTGATGGGCTCTTGACAAAGTGTTAATTTCTTTCCTGATGGATATCAATATTTTTATACTCGCCACGAGTGCTGACAAAACTTTCACGGTGTTTGGTCGCGTAGGAGGTGAATGGTGACGTCAGGCAACGTCTCAATCCTCCACGAGGGACTACCTGCGCGAGGAGTCCTCGCAGGTGGAAGTGAGGGAGAACAGGAGTGCACTTAAGAGAGAACGACAAGAAGAACGACGGAAGGAGAGGGGAAGAGAGAGAGAGAGAGAGAGAGGGGGGGGGAGAGAGAGAGAGAAAGCAAAAGACGGTACGTGACCTTAACCCTGAGTGGGCTGACCTGAAGCACCTCGACCTTATCTGCATAAGGTGCAGGTGCGTGCCGGCTCCTTTTGTGCCGGTGAAGATATCGCGCGAGAGAAGAGCGGACGAAACAATTTCATAAATTGCGAGCTCGCGCCATTCTAAGACGGTGTTACAGTGTCCCATTAGCGGAAAAATATTATATGCTTTATATTTTTAAGTTAAATCTCAATTAAGTTAATTATTTCAATTAATTTTTTTTACTTTTAAATGTCCTCATTTAATTACAATAATAACATATTTATAGAGAGAGAGAGAGAGAGAGAGAGAGAGAGAGGAAAATAACTACATACTCATTATTGCAAATATTTAATAATATCTAATAATATATTATATATCTTAAATTTTTTATTAGATAAGTTTTTAGGAGCAATATTTTTTAACATAACTATATAATGTTTGAAAAAAATTAATAAAGTTTTCTAAAGAGATAAGCTGAAGGGTTGGTAAGTTTGTACAACTATTTTCTACTTGTTACTGATTTTGAATGATTTGTGAGTTGAATTATACACGAGTCTTCGGAATAATGGACTAAAAACCGATGGGAAACTTTCCTGGGCCGATTAAATGCGCGTGCGTGTCGAAATGTTAGAATCCGAAAAATTGAACAAGAATGAGACGTCGGACGACGGACGTTTAACCGTGGACTACGAATGAGCACGAAAGTAACTAACATTCGTCCGCAACGGATCGTTCTTCGCTCGAAATTCTAAATTTGTTACGAGCCTTTCACGTTACGACGTAAAGTGACATCTCGACACAAGAGACGTCTCCCCCCTTTAACAGTAGCGAGCATTGAGAATAGATAGAACAAGGTCGGACAAAATCGTGGAAGAAAGAAAAGAGCGAGAAAAATGAGAGACAATTTTCTTTACTCCAAACGCCCAGTTGACCTTGGCGGAAGCGAGAGAACAGGCACGTTAAAGAAAAGCAGAAAGATTTATGCCGTTACATGACCCATTGTCACGGCAAATCCCCGCTCCGTTTCTTCTCTCTCTCTCTCTCTCTCTCTCTCTCTCTCTCTCTCTCTCTCTCTCTCTCTCTCTCTCTGTCACCCTAAATTCGATCAGTTCCAGATATTATTTATTATAATGTCAGACTACCATGACTGAATGGATTACGTGCCGTTCGTAATCGCGTTGCCTTCTAGACGAGGCATCCTCGATTCTGTGGACTAACGACAGCAGGAAAGTGTCAGTTTAACAAGGAAAGGCATGAAGTCAAGGGGACGAATCGTCGACATGTTGGATAGACAGGAAGAGATATCGCTACGTGTTGTAACATAGTGACCGTTAATCAGTTAGCATAGCTCGAACGGAACTATTTCAGGAATGTCTTCATTGTCGTTGGGATACGTCAAGTAGCGCGACATTTATTTCCATGCAATTTTCGACGGACCTTTCTTACTTTCAAAGAAAATAAATTTCCGATTTTTGTTTTTTATGTATTCTACGTGCATATTTACGTTTCGAAGAGAAAACTAGAAGAGGAAGAAAAAAAAAGGAGAAAATTATTGCGGGATAAAAACAGATTTCTTGCTGTTCCTTTCTTCTTTCTTCTTTCTTTGACTTGAAATATACTACACGGAAAAAAACATTTAGCTGCTGTAGCTAAAACTTGGTAAAATAGGGACAGCTAATATTGAGCTATCACAACTAAAAATATTAGCTGTCCCTATTTTACCAAGTTTTAGCTACAGCAGCTAAATGTTTTTTTCCGTGTATACTAAGCCGTATCGGCATGTTCATGCACGTTGAATCACATCTTTCACGCGCTAAGAACGCGGCTAATTGTTTGCGACGAACGTCCTCGATGAACTCATTGCCTCGTCGTGGATCTTGTTATTCGTGGAAACCAACCCGTTCGATTTTTCTTGGTTTTTACGCGTTTTATGATTTGCAAACAATCGGACTGTCAGATAAGCGAGTGGCGGTCTCGTTTCTCGAAGGCACGGAAATGTGCCATTATCGGTGCGCGTGCGAGGCCGCGGAGGAACGACACGAGGGAAAGGAAGAAAAATGTGTGAGAAACGAGAGGGGAAAGAATGCGACGCGGCGTGAGATTTGGTGCGAGGAAAGTTCAGATGAGAAGGGACGCGAAGCGCGACTCTCGATAATCCCCGCGATTGTTTGCCCTCGACGAGGCGAGTACGCCGCTCTCGCTTGTTCCGCGTACGATAAATAGTTCGACGGCGGTTTTATCGACTCGTTCAAATAGTATGAGCAAGTTGGAGGCGCAGCCAGAATGTGCCCGCAGGGTAAACACGCGCGCGCACATCGATGGGAGTTCCTTGCTCGTGCTCGCGTACTGCTCCGGAACCTGACGACCTGGCAGCGTCAGGGACGCTGTACGGACGCGGAATGCTTCGCTCTCAAAGCCGTTTTGTGTAGAATCGTGAAACCTTAGCAGAAAATTAAGTAGACGGGACAATTTTTGTTCTACAACTATAAATCGTACATCTCTTCGTCGATGTCTTGTTCATTAAAACAGGATTAATTCGTCGAAGTTCCATACTAGACTTTTGTTTAATAGCGAACTCGGTTGCTTGCACTAGTGCGCACTGAGCCGCACACTAAGGCTTGTTTATAGTCAGTTCTTATATTTAACTTCGTCTTAAATACATGTTCAAAGAGTATTTAGTAAAAAAATTATGCGTGTAAACGTTGTACAGACCATTTTGCTGGATAAGAAATATCGCAAGAGGTATTTAAGATGATCTTTAATATAAGAATTGACTGGAAGCAAGGCTTAGCGTGCACTCAGTGCGCACTAGTGCAACCAACAGAATTCGCTATAAGATTATTTTAAAATCAACGAGTGCTAGTGGCATGAAGGCGACAAAGTGCTAACGATCTATTATAGCATTCTGGAATCGTAACTTTGAATTTACGGACTGTTCGAACATGACGAAAATTTAATATAAATGACAACGTACGAAACGCTGATTAATGGAACTCGTGAGACAAACGACTGGCCTCTCGACGTAAGGTCTCGATGTAGTATATAGAGCGAAAAGCCGCGACCGAGTCGTTTTTCGAGATTGCCCTAAGCGGCATCGTCGCGCATCTTTACGAGGGACATTTGCGTCTCGGCTGAAATTCCACGGAGATAAAATCGTTAGGAATTATTGCTACTGTCGCGGCCCGAGTACCTGTCAGGAGACAGAACGAGTTATGGTGTAACCACCTACGCGTGGAATCTAAAACGACGTACTGGCGATGGTGGTCCCCACGGCGACAATATCGGCGACGTGATGATTTATGTAGATATGTCGTAATACAGTCATTAGACATGAGCTGATGGCCCGTGATGTCAAGTGATAGGCCAGGCGTAAAACCGCTTACAATGATTCATTACGGACGTTATAAAGAATGGAAAGATGGATTTATTACTTGCGCCGGGACAGAGATTGCCACTTCAGCTCAGACCCGAGATGTCAATGCGAAGAAAAATGCAGGTCTAAAAGATTGGCCGTAAAAACGGCTTTCATCCTTAACAGACATACAGAAAATTAAGTCGTTTATTCAACAACGTTGCGGCTCATGCGAACGAGAATAACATCTACCACTACATATTATTTTTAAATGAGTCTTAATAATTTAATGCCTTCAGATGTGTATCTTCGAAATATTACAAGATTTATATCGTGCGTGTAAAAAGTATTTGTCTCCTTTATTTTGCTTTGTCTTTAACATATTCGCCAACGACGTTCCTCGATACGCGGGCGACGAGGTATCTCCGACGACCGTACGAGTGCCATGATCGCGGCGACAACTCGGCAAGGGTCGAAAATAAGAAAGACGAAGGAGAGAGAGGCCAAGAACACACAGAGGCAGAACAGTCCTGAGGAACTCGAAGACCGCGGAGTAACACGGAGCGCCATATAGACCCGCGGGAACGAGGGCGGGCTTGCGGGGGCCCCGTGGAAGCAAACAAGATGTAAAAATCACGCGGGGCCCA